GTGAGGTATCACGCCGCATTTGAAGGCGTTTTCAAAACAGCCAAGTTCCGATTCCCGGATTATCGTTTTGCATGGTTCATATTCTTTTGTTATATTCCGTATCACTCGTTTATTTTTAATCCTCGTAGAAAAACCACCCATGTTCTAAATACAATTCTAGCTGAAGCGCACTCAAGCTCATTCATGACTACAAAAATGTTAGCGGAAATCGAAAAGACCAGCGTGCATGAAGGCTATTTCAATTGTAATCTTCCGTCGCATTTCTAAGGCGCAATGATACAACTATTTGAACTCTCCGGAATGCCGGAGCCCGGACCTTAAAACTGGTACCTGGGCCCGAGATGGGATGTGGCGGGCCTGCCCACTTCCCCCAAAGAGCATTTCAAAAACCCCACTTTCATGATTAAATCAACTCTTGCAAAGTATTACCAACATAAAAAAAAAACTGAAAGCTGAACAAATATGGACATTAGCGCTTTTCGCACGACAAGATTCTATTCCTCTTGTAACGTCACGAAATCTGTTGGCGCGATATTTTTTCCGCTTGTAAGGGAGTTCGAATTTTAACAACTTTGGTAGTATATTCCGGGGCTAAAATTTGAGCAAAAGAGAAACGTAACAGGCTTTTGAATTCTTTACTCTTTGAAAAATGAATTAATAAAATAAATTTTGCAACAGTTCATTGCTAAAATGACAGGGTGGCAAACCTTGGACCCCAAAGCGAAAAACGAAAGTAATAGCATGGCGTTGTCATGCTAAAACGATAAAATTCACGGGGCTAAAGAATGACAGCTGTCAAGTTCCGACACACACTCCTGATTACCAGACGTTACCCCTTGGAAAGCAGGGCGAATACCTAGACGGGTAACGGGAAACGATGGGATTTGCGTGCATTGGCAATCCTGTCGATAGAGGAATGAAAAAAGTTTGGATGATGCTCTCGAAAAAGCACCAATAAACAATGCAAGTTGTTAACCTTAATCGCTCCGAACATTACCCTCCTCTCGCGCCCCTCTCACCCTCGTAACATCCCGAGTCCCTTTCTTTGCGATGCACGTCGTTGGGTACTTGGCAAACGCCTGTTTAGGCCGCATTCCGGCGTGATTATACATGTAAGCTGCCGTGCTAAGGAAGAACGCCGTATGTCGTTTCCCCGAATAAAACATGTATTTTTGACGAACTTTATGCATATTTTCCCTAGAGATTTTCAGATGTATTAGATGAAATTGTGGACAAAATAGTCTGAAAAATTTAAAGAAAAATATTTACAAGTTCCCTCATAAATTCGTTTTACATCAGAGGAAATTTGGCAACATATCAATGTTCGTACAGCGTTTTCCCCAGGCATGGCAGTATGCGTGCCTATTTGTGACTACGCTCAGCATTTTCTCAGATTTCGGAGATGACAAGTCTAGTACGGATTTGAATGCCCGCCCGTACCAAAGAATTAACATTTTTTTGGTTACTTTGGGCTTTTTTTGTTCAAGAGGAGCAGCTTCGTTAATCAACTAAATGTTTAGTGAAGTCAACTGGACCATTTGATTATCCTTCAAACTAACAAAGAGATACGTTTTTTTTCCGGAACCATCGCTGAAGATTTAGCTGAAACGTAACAGGTACTGAGGGCGAGCAATGTTTTTACGCGGAGATTGGGACGTAACGAGACAGAAGAGGTGGCAGAGGCGGGCCTAAGTCGAGGGCTTATAGACAATAGCGGGTGGGACTAGGAGTGCGGCTTATCAGTGTTAGTTGCTCGCGGTTTCCGCGGCCGCTGCGCCGCGCCGCCGCACGGTGGATCGAGTCAACAGGAAAGTTCGGACAAAATTTGGAAACTTTAAACGCTCATAACTTCTTTCATACAAAACTTTGAGGTCCTAAAAGTGGTTCCATTGATTTTCTCGTGTAATTTTCTTCAAGAAGCACCCCTTGAAACTTAAAATGTCACGAAATAAACATCAAATTTTGCAATTTCAGTCAAAACTTTCATGTCCGACCTTTCGAATTGACTCGATCCACTGTGCGCCGGTTGTCTGCGGAGAGCGCTCTCGTCTCATCTCGCGAGACCCGGGTCGGAGCGAGGCAGACAGCTAGACGCCGAGTCGGCCGCCTCGTCGCACAGTGGATCGAGTCAATACACTGGGAAAAAAAACACATTGGATCTAGAGTCCAGACTCTTGAAAACATTGACAAGAAAAAGGACTCTCGATTCAATCAGATTTAAGCTTAAATCGAAAGGAAATCCGCTCAAATTAAGAGGCTTGATTCTTGATTTAAGCTTAAATCTGATTGAATCGAGAGTATTTTTTCTTGTCGATGGTTTTAAGAGTCTGGACTCTAGATCCATTGTGTTTTTTTTCCAGTGTTGGAAAGGTCGGAAAAAATTTGGAAACTTTAAAAGCTTGTGACTCTGATTATACAAATTTTTGAGGTTCTTAAAGTGGTTCCATTGGCTTTCTCTGAAAATTTTCTTCTGAAATCAAAAATCTCATGTCCGACCTCTCTAATTGACTCGATCCTTTGTGCGTCGCACACTGAAACCAGGATATCGATATTACCGATCCTTAGAAATTGGCAACACTGGTTTTCCTCCATTAAAATTTAGGTGAAACAATCGATTTTTGGTGATCTCGTCAAGCGGGTGGCTCTTGACCTGCCTGATCCTGCCTGGATGTGCCTTGGCCGATATAGATCCATCAAAAAGCTCCCAAATGTGCCAATTTTTTTCGGGCATATCTATAGATGGGCCCAATGTAAATGAAATCGGGCGAATCTGGTGGCAAAAGCTGTACCACTGAGGTGACTTGTCAACTAAGCATCATTATTGGTTTCGGCCGGCAGGCAAGGTATGAATTTTGTAACATCAATGTGCCTGGGCCTACTGATAACAATAAGAAGGTGTTTGAGAGAAGTGGGCCAATTGGTTTCGGTCAATTTCCTATTGTGCGCAGCTTGCAGCAAAACGTCCTGGCGTATTAATATAATATTTACAAGGTTTTTTTTTTTTTTTTTTTTTTTTTTTTTTTTTTTTTTTTNTTTTTTTTTTTTTTTTTTTTTTTTTTTTTTTTTTTTTTTTTTTAAATCAAACCAAAACGTATTATAATAAACGTTTTAATCTTAAAGCTTTTCGGTTTGATAGCCATCATCAGAGCTAATACAACACATATCAAACGACTTACATTCATAAAATACGAGGATTCACGGAGGATGTAGTCAAGTGGACGTGATTGTGCTAAAAAGAACTATGCTCAATGCTCAAAATAATAAAGTCAAAAGGAAGCACTGGAGCACACAAACCCTACGCACTTATTGTTAGTTCCTTTTGATAATCCATTTTTACCTAGCTCCTTTTTGTGTAAATACGTCCGAATGAAAAATAATTTATATACGAAACCTCAGCAATCAGTGTTTGTATGAGTATATTCACTGTGGCACACTGAAACTTTGCACTGAGCCTCCACACTTACACACTACTTCACTCGTAAACAATTTTCATCTCTGCAAAATTAAATTTCGTATTTCAGGCAAGTAAAATTTCTTGCATTCATTCCTAGAATTTCAATCATCATCTTTGCTCACCAGGATAGCTGTTTTCGGTCAAGGTCGGTTCAGACGTCGAGTTTCCACGGAAAAAAATGGGAGAAAACGGAAATTTAATTTAACTACGGGTTTGTTTAGGTGATTCGATGGACGCCATATTTTGTGTCAGAACGGCATGCGATATATCGCATCAATTGGTTCCATTTTTTCAGCTACTCCTCATTTTTCTTGAATTTTGAGATCGCAACTCTATTGTCAGGAGACTAAAGCACTCACTTACCAATTTTAACAGAGAAATTCAACGTATTAAAGGCGTGGGTTTTTTTAGAGAGAAAATATCGCATTCGAGTGCAGTTTTGATATCAGTATCGAATGCGATGTTTTCTCTCTAAAAAAACCACGCCTTTGTTACGTTGAATTTTTTTGGTAAAATTGTTGAGTAAGTGCTTTAGTCTCCTGACAACAGAATTGCGATCTCCAAATCCAAGAAAAATGACGAGTAGCTAAGAAAAATGGAACCAATCGATGCGATATATCGCATGCCGTTCTGACCAGGCCCGCCACATCCCATCTCGGGCCCTGGTACCAATTTTCTGGCCCGGGACCCTAGCACAGGGGGGGGGGGTCCAGGGGGCCTCCCCCGGGAAATTTTTGAAATTTTAAATCTATTTGGACGCATTATGAAGCTCTTATGATGGAGATTTTCCATCAATTTCTGCAGAATAATTACGCCTTTTTGTTTACTTTCAGCACCAAAAACTTTCGAATTGTTGCATTCAAAACATCTATAAATTTTTTTTTGAGGGGGCAGATGATAATTTTCAATTCTATGGGGAGTCGGGCCCCCCTGGACTCCCCTTTCGTACGTCTATGGCAAGGGAGTTAAGCCATTGAAGTCGAGGATGCCCAGAAAGGAGCCTCTTAGTATCCGACAACGGAGGAAAATGAAACACAGTTACTAAAAATATCATTCTACATATACTCAAAATCTTGAAAATCTCTAAAAAAGTAAGAACAATTTTATAGCGTCCTAGCGTGTTTTTGAAACTTTATTCACCTTTTGCGGAATTTTTAGGGTAATTTTTTCACTTTTCCCTACGAGACAAGGGTTACACATGAATTTGTAGTGGTTTGTCACCTGCGTCACGGGCCCCGGTACCAAGGACCCAGTACCCCCCCCCCCCTTGTGGCGGGCCTGGTTCTGACACAAAATATGGCGTCCATCGAATCACCTTAAATCAGCATTTTTTAATTGTAAAATCTACAATGAAACACGTCGGGCTCATTTTTGGACTACAAAATTGTTAAATCAGCAATTCCATTTTTTGCCGTGTTCACGCGAAGTGCCTCGCGTGGTGCGGATTCTCAAAGGACACGCTGCGTTGCTGCCTGTGCGCGGGTTCGGAGGCAGCGCAGCGTCGGTCGTCGCGACAGACAGAGCGTACTACCTCGGCAAGCGCGGGAGCTTCCTTGCGCAGTCTTCTCCGAAACTCGAGCGCGGAGAGCTGTGTTCCTTCCGTCGCGTCGCGACGCCGCCGATGCCACCACGTACACGTCCACGTTCGCGACGTGATTGAATTTTCTCGTGTCGTCCAGTGCCTCCCGTTTTCCGGCTCCCGGTCAGTTTGTGTGCTTTCCCTCGGAATCCCAGTCTTCCGGAGGCTCCGTCGAGTCGTGTTGTGTTTTCTTCTTACGTTGCCCGCAGCCGATGCTTTACTTACACGATTGTGCACTTCCCATGTTTTCTCCTCGAATCCCACTCGTGCTTGGCGACGAAACCAAAGTCTGCTCGTGGGAAGCAGAGTGCCCTATGGATAAAGTTCGCAATGATTGAAATTCTACGATGCTGATTTGGATCTCCTCTTGTGTTTTATTCACGTAACAAATAAAAACTGCGGACGAAATTGAATCAATGAGAACGAAAACACACCAACTCTGTAACTCGAAAATGCTCAATTTTCATTACAGACAGTCAATTTCCACGAAGGTCATTGAAGTTAGCGCATCTGTTCCAGCTTGGAACTTTAAAGAATCATGTAGTACTTGTCCTTCGAAACCAACGATCTTCTTCTTAGACTAACTTCTTCACCCACCGTGCAGTTGTGTGTGTGTCTTGATTATTTTCATTTTTTCGAGTTGGTGTGTTTTCGTTCTCACTGATTCGATTCTGATTTGAGAGGCTTGAAGGATAAGGCGCATGAGTGCAGTTATTCCTATTTCGAGAAATAAGTGCTTGAAGTTTTGAAATTACATGGGCAGAGAGGAAGTTCTAACTGACTTTTTGATGCTTAAAATTGGAACTTGGGAGCGAATTTTTCACAGAATATATATTAAGACTAGTATTACTTGAATTCGTAAATATCTGAATTTTTTTAAAAACTGTCCTCCAAACCTCTCATTTGAACTTGTATGATGTATACTTTATGATCAAAGGTGAAACCTTCGAAAGTTTCAAGCTATTATGTTGTTTAAAAACTGCAAAAGAAAAGACAGGAGAGAAGATCAGGCAACGTGCAGAGTAGGAAGGTTAATTCTGGTTTTATCCGTCCATTTTCTAAGCATTAGCCATATTTGATAGTCTAAAAGTATAGGGATGCAAATAATTTTAAAAACTTTTCATAATCAGAGATTTTATTTAGATGAAGCTGGTCTTGGATATTCAGATCGCTTGTGAAGTAGACCCATTTATTGGCTACGTCATTTGTTGTACATCATAGTTCAATGGTTCCATTGTAAACAGTGAAACAAACCATGTCGCGTTTGCATCAAACCGTGATTTAAACCTTCCTCAAAGCACTCATCATGCAGCCGAAAGTTATAGTTTTTTGCGGCTTTCTGGAAGTTGGAAATAGTAACTTTGTGGATTCATAACCCTATATGCACTTTTCCAAAGGGACCGCATTTAGCAGAGGAAACCAAGCCACATCCAGCTATTGCTAAATTCAGCATAGGTAGCACTTTAATGTTTTACCAGAGAACGTTTGTGCGGATTTCTTTTTCAATATTAAGGAGTTTGCTTCGTACTATACAGAAAATTCACTGAAATTTGCACAAAAATGCGCACAACCATTTTCATGTTAAAAATTAAATCGCACAGTTAAATTTGGCATTAGCTGATGTGGCTTAGTTCCTTCTCGTGTAAGAATGTCCAAATATCGTAAACTTATGAAGAAGCCAGGAGTTGAAGCTAGCGTTACACTGGAAAAAAAACACATTGGATTTAGAGTCCAGCCTCCTAAAAGCATTGACAAGAAAAAATACTCATGATTCAATCGGATTTTTGCTTGAATCAAAACGAAATCCACTTAAATTAAGAGGCTTGGTTTTTTATTTAAGGTATATTCTGATTGAATCAAGAGTACGTTTTCTTGTCGATGTTTTCAAGAGTCTGGACTCTAGATCCAATGTGTTTTTTTCCAGTGTACGTTATGCTATGAAGAAGGCTCTGGCGCAGTTAATGAATTGTAGCGTAATTTGGGGACGACCTTCTTATTTATTGATCGCGGGAGAACGTAATAACACTCCGAAAACATTGACAATTTTCAGATTTTGTGTAGTTTTTTCAATGACTCACACGACATCAATTTTCAAAAACTTAACTCTCTTTTTTCTTCAGAAGAGTATCGAGGATAGGAGACGAAGGGAAGGTCACGGATGAACCCTCTCTGGGAGTGGGAGTCAATAATCCACCCGGGTTTATCTTCTTATTCCGGGCTGGTCTTACTGCTCGGAAGTTAGACTATTGGCATTTCATTCGTCTCCAACGCTTCAGACTTTTGTGCTGTGCTTTTGCTCTCGCTCCGCTTTTCTTTCCTCAGCTCTCGTCCGCGCTTTTTTCAGGCTCCTCTTGAGCTTTTTGCTTCCCGATTCCACCACCCAACTGTCCGCAAAAAAATCCCATCTGTTGTCAAATATACTTAATCACGGAATTTTCTCCCAATAAATTAACGACTAGAGTAACTTGATAGAGAGAGTATAGACATCTCGCCCCTTCATTTTCTACAGAGGCCTTAAGATCCAAAAATGGCGGCGCTTTGTTTTGATTTTTGAATATGGAAGGAGGGTCAATGGGGTTATCGCCAACTTTTGACGGTTGTCACCAACCGCTTTTGCTGCCTTCCTTTATGTATCCAAGTATCCAAGATGATTTTTCTCGGAAAAAGCACACTATTACTCGTAAAGCTATGTAAATACGTCGTAATAATTCATGTAAGTCAAGATCTCGTTGCGAGATGCAAATAAAACCACATTTCAAGCCACTTTGTATTTACGTTTACTTACAGCGTCCACCATTTTTGGGGTCCTATGAGCTCTATGAAGCTCAGAATGGAGGAGACAATAAAAAACTATAGCCACATGACGATACGCTCTCTATGAAAATACTCTAGGGACAGCTGAAGGAGGAGTTCAAGTATTTGACTTTTTGACCCCCTTCTCCCCTCGTAAATCCCTCGTAAAACGGGATCATTTTTCCAAAACAAGAAGGGAAACATACGTTTAATCAATAAATAAAGTACCTCTTCAGGATCAAACATCTGCTTCTTCTTGATAAAAGATTTGCTAATTTGACTTTAGAATTTGCCGAGTGGCAGTGGGTGCAGTATAAAACCATACGCTTTACTTGTCCGACTCAGAGTTCTTCATAACATTGACCGCGCTACCGCCGCAGCCGTATCATTACCCAGAGTCCTCGTTTCAGGAAAACAACATAAATAAATCAATGTTAATTACAGAGAATTTACCATGAAACTGCTATGTTCCGCAACAGTAAATGCCCGTTACTTAGGTCCATAATTTTACTCAGCATTCGCTCGTTTGAGCAGGACCAAAGAACGATTCAGACTCACGGAATAAAATTACTTTTTTTTTTTTATCAACATTACATTTTGAGTGTGCTAGATCGCCCCCCCCTTCACCTGACAAAATTGAGAAGCGCACATGTACAATGTGGCGATTCGTAATTATTCTGCCTTGGATTTCCGGAATATATAGCTGCACACGTTTTTTCGCCAACACTGGCAACAGTGCCTGGCTGTGCACCGAATAACGAGCAAATAATATTCTCAGCCCTCGTCAGTGATGCGCTCACTGTAAACAAAAAAACCACTGCTCCAAATGCAGGCACAGAGTTGCCGAAATTCACGGAAGGATCTTCTTTTCGTAGGAGATGCTTAAAAACATACCAAGGCTTTTGTCATACACTCATGAGCTAGCCCTGCTCCCCAAATTTTCATTGTTTGTTAAAATTCGTACTAGGAATCCACTGGGCCAACTCCTATGAGTTTTACAGCCATGGACAAGCAGTGACTACAAAATCAGTCATATTTTTTTATTTTCTTAAGTGTCACTGTTCATCCAAAGCGGCCGTTCCAGGGCGCAAAGCGTCCACTGGGGGTTCGGTTGCTGAGCGGTGCACTTTTTTCTTCTTCTTTGAATTCTTCTCGGGAAGTCTGTAGTGGCACACCAACTGAAGCGTTTATTTTTAAAAAAAATTCAAGTGTCAAATACTCATGAGCTTTGGAATTCTCATTTGAATATGAAAATCAAGGCTGGAAAGTCTTTGTACCTACTCGGTTCCATTACTTATCTACTTGATGGCTGTAGTGGTGTCAAATGTGAAATCACCAGATCATCATCAACGAAGGAAAGTTCGATATGATACTTCCCAGAAGAAGCTATATATCGATGATAAAGGCGATTATAGTGGCCTCGCGGGATCAATGGTTTGAATAGTTGATTTGCAACGTTTGATAATGTTATCTCTAATTGAAGCGCCCCCGCTGCCCCGCCCCCTCCCAATCTGGTCCCCCGCATCCAATCCAAATAATTGTCCAGGTTCCTGGGCTCTGAATAGATGTATGCTCTGTTTTCAGTACGTCATATGTCAATATCCGATGCAAATATTGTTATCTCTTGCTCGTCCACGCTCCTTGCTAGATAGAATATTTTCCATATTGTATTCCAAGCGACCATTATAGTCGAAAAAAAATCGAGGGAACATCTGTATTCTGCCGTGCTAAGGAAAAACGCCGTATGAGCATTCGAGAGTTGCCACATTTCCTTCGATAAAATGTTTATTTTTGAGGAAAGCTAAGTATGAATTTTTTCTCTTGAAATTGTCAGGAACTCCAGGTGAAATAGTGCACGAAATTATCTGGAAAGTTGCAGGACATTTTTTTTCATAAATTTTCCTGAAAATTCGTGACTCACCGAAGGAAATTTCGCGACGCCGGAAGGTTCACACGACGTTTTTCCTTAGCACGGCAGTATTGCCCTGCTAGAAAAGAGCAGGGTGTCCGAGTAAAGAATAGACTTTCAGGCAATTTAGGTTAAGAATATAAGCATGTTATACTTTAAAGATGGCTCAATATTCCACAGCGCCTCATGAACTGGTTATTATCTTATTCGTCCTAGTTTTTCACAGTTAAATAGTTTGTGTTTTGGCACAATAATGATCATTAAAACGCGTTAAGTATCAAAGGCAGAGCAAGAATCGCCTGAGTTCTCAGCTGAATCTTGATTTCCTTTTTTTTAGATGAATTCGCGCCCCATCGCCACCTTCGCAAGTGCTGATTTTCCCTAACCCTTCAAAAATCTCACCTACTTTCTACTTCTTCTCAACTTGTTTGGTTTTACTTTCCTCGGTCATTAAGAATTCCGATCTCTTTTTCATACTCCACATCTAAAATTCCTCCAAACTTGCCGAATCTAAGTTTTGTCAACGTTGGCAAAACTGGAACGGATAAAAAGTAATATTGAAAACATTTCTTTCGCATTGTATCCAAATCTCCAACATTTTTAGGTGTCACGGAGGAAGCGATCGAATGAGCATAAAAACCTTCGGTCAAACTTTCTTATTTTTATAACAGTTTAAAGAATTAAAAAAAAAAACATAAGACCTCATTACTTTCTGCCAATCTCCAAGCTTAAACCATCAAACCACGATTCCGTGACCAACGGAACTGACCCATTTAATGTTAAGTTTACTCTCGAGGAAAGTAAATCCAAAGAGTTGACAGAGTTTCTTCGGTTTCAGGATTTTACCACTAAACGCTAATTTGAATTGAGTTTTTGACCCTGGTAACGCCTCATTTTTGGGAAGCATGAACAGTGTGTATCGACGGAGGAGGCTTTCATCTCTGGACTGCAAATTATCCTGTTTTATTCTGCTTCTCTACATGCGTTGAGAAAATTTAGCATATGCCTTCCCTCCAGCAAGCATGACTTTCAAGAAGACAGTGTTCGCAGTGCTTTCCAGTGTGCCGTGTCCGTTTACCCCCGGTTCTTCCATCGTGTGACTCTCACCGAAGTTCTGAAGGATCAAATCTGCGATGGATGCTGTCACTTGACCGAGTGTAAAATCCCTTAAATTCGAATTTTGACGCGAAGGAATCCATGTCACAACTTAGTCTTGATTTTTTGTGGTATAATCACACTGAAGGCGTCACAGTTTTGAAACTGACTAAAAATCTCTACAATTTACTCGCGTCGAATCCAAACGTTTTCTGATTAAGTGAGGTCAGTTTTTGACCCCAATTTAAGCACCTTAACTGGTAATTGTTTTCAGTTTTTATTTCGTAGGTCGACGTCCGTTTTTTAAACCACTCTACTTCTCAGTCAATTTCCACATTTAAAAGCCGTTAATAATTCGGAACCTATTTTGGAACTCTTTCGTTTTTCATTTTTTAAATCGTCACCTTTTTTAAACGCCAATCGAGGGCTCGGAAATCTTAATGACTGAAGAGTGTGTAATCCATTCCAAATCGAAAAACTTTACCTCCAAATGAATGTGAATATCAAAATCTAACAAATGTGTTGAACTTGAACTCCAAAATTTTACGCAACAGCATCCATCCTCTCAAAATGTACCAAATCCAGACCGGTGATTGTGCAGCTAATTGCCGCTACATGTAGCGGATTTACGTATTCGCGCAGCAATTCAAACATTTTTTAATCCAAAATATGTTATAATATCGTATTATCCGTTTAAATCCAAAATGTTGTGACTCGGCTTTAACACTCTTTGCAGCAGTGAATACTCTTTGGACTCTATTTTTTGTTTTTCTAAAAAAAAAAAAGCCTGTGTGTGACGCTAAAATGTAGTGTTGAAACGCGTGTTTTGCTCCCTCTCTTTCAAGCACTAATGACATAAAATCCGAGTTTTTTTAGTTTTATTTGATTTTACATCACTCTCACCCGGATTGTTTTGTGTGGCGCCAAAATGTAGTGATGAGAGGCGGCGCGTGGCCTCTAACATGTGCTTGGCGAAGAGCATGATTGTTGCGGGAGTGACGTTTCCGCTTTCGTTTTCGCTTTGGCCTTTGGCATCTTTTCTGTGATACCCTCGTGATGAGTCATATTCGTGTGCCAGAGGTTCGGGTCTCGCCGATGGCGGCGGAGTCGCAGCGGGAACGTGAGCCGCCACACACCTACCACCGCCCTCTAGCGGGCACCTCCGGCATCCTGCTCGTCCCGACCTCGGCCGGTGCCCCACGCCGACGTCACTCCTGGATCGGCGGGTGAGTCAAACCAATTTTCCATCCTGTATTTTTTCCCAAAGATGCTTGTATTTTATGAGTCATTAGATGTGTACCACCCTAGTCCGACGGACTAGTTAAATCGTCCTCATTTGCCTGATCGGGAGACGCAGATGAAAAAAGGAGAAAGAAGGAGGAAAAAAGTAGTTCAGTACAATTTTTTTATTTTTTTTATTCGCATGATTATTACTCTCTCTATTTTTTCATTTTTGATGACTTTTAAGTAAATTGTTGTTTTTCTAATCGTACTTTTTTTTAAAAAAAAGTATAGCATATTTTTTCCCTACTTGTTTATTGCGTTGTATTCTGTAAGGAAACTTCACCATTTGTACTTAGACTATTCATTGTTCTTAGACACCAAGAGATTTGCACATCCATGCTCTAGGCTTTGCAAATTTACAGGGATTAAGGCCGAATAGAATCAGTTCCTACAGATCCACTCGTCAGTTCCGTGAAAATTTGTCGCCATTAACGGGATTTGAGCCCAGTATTTATCGGCCCATAGTCAGACGCGCCGACCACGCACCATGGTCCAAAACTCTGAAACAGGAAGAAATAAGTCGGATAATGACTGAAAGATCACGAAAGTTTCGTGACTGATGTTTTTTGAGTCGCCAATTTCGAATTTGATGTCAAATTGCCTACATTTTAACACCCTGACCAATTAATCGTGGGCAAGTTTATGGCACGCTGCGGCGCGGCGAGCTACCAGCTTAAAACGCGCACAGACGCCTACAAACCTAAAGGGATACTTCAAGCATTGCGCAATGCGTGAAGTAGCCCTTTAGGTTTGTAGGCGTCTGTGCGCGTTTCGTGGTGGCAGCACGCCGCACGTAGCCAATGTGGCCAGCAAGTAACATATTTTCTACATCAAATACACTATTACGTTTTTTCCTTAAAATGATCATTAATATTTAAATAATGATTTATTTAATTATGTGTACCGAAAAGATCTTTGTTCGCTTTAGAAGAAGATGGAGAAGAATGAAGGAAATGAGAATGGACGGATGGGGGAATGTACATTTCGGTTTCTCCCGCATGTCCTCTTATATTTTCCTCCCCTTCCTCTTATTCTTCCTCCTCTTCAAATTATTTTCTTTTTCTTTTGACAATCATTCCTCCTGTTTCTCTCATCATTCCTTTTATTCTGCATTATTCAATTTCGCTACTTCCGCCTATTTATATCTGCATACTTTATTCTGTAAGCAGCTACTAAACACCCCCCCCCCCCCCACGGGCTTATTTTATGAAATTTCTGCACAGAGAGTATCTTTACATGCACCCACCCCTCATCTTCCAAAAGAAATTTTTCAAACCAATATTTCGGTACTAAAGGCGAGCTTATAGTAAGTAAAGCAAATAGGAGTGAACAAATGAGAGAAAAACGAAATGGCTTTGCCGCAGGCTCTCTGAGAAGAACAACGCTCTTTTCATTCCGTGCGGTCTCTTGTAGAATCCGCTCTCTTTTGACCAAGTAGTCTACTACATGCAACGACCATCAAGCTGAAATATTCTCCAAAAAGAACGTGACACCTTTCTAATGGATGTGCAATTATGTACCATGTCTCTTTTGTGCATTTTTGCTTTTTACCCAGTCCGCTATTCTTGCAGTTTTTTTTGTCTTTTTTCTTTCCTGCAACGGCATTCAGCGTTCCATTCAAATTTCAGCTTCGCAACGAGGAAACGGGTCCTTTCCTTACTCAAGCTCCATTTTCCTTACCGTTTTTGGCTGCCAGATTTCACCCAAAAAACATCCTTTACGCAAACCCATTAAGTAAATCCTGGATATGGAGTGTTTCATCGTTATTCAAAAGAGCATACTTTATTGTTTTATGTACTCTAATTTATTTGCTCGAATTATTCGTGTCTTCTAAACTTTTGAATTATAAATGCCCAAGAGAAACAGGATCTAAGACGTCAAAGTTGAGAAATCAAGACGTTCGTTGAGAGCTGAATTTATTTACTAATAAAATCATCCTGCAGGATTAATACGAATACCCTGCAGTGTCATATGAATGAGTGTGATAAGACCGCTCTTTTTGTCACTCAGAAACAATTTTCATTCTTCGTGGGTGTCAAATTTGCCATGTCCGCTAATAAAATTCAATTCATCTCACCAAGTGAGTGAACCAATCTCACTCACTAACGTAAAGTTACTAAGTACTTTCGGTGACGGAATTATAACGGAAGAACTGCTTACACTGTCTAGTCTCGGAATTATTGCCACTTTGATAAATAATAATGTAATTTAATTTTGCTGCGCATCATGCTGATTTCAAATTTTTTGAGAACATCACTGGAGCAAAATGTTTGGGAAGGGGGGTGTCAAAAATCTTTTGAGATTATCGACAGCAAACTCTCCAGCGTCTTAAGCAACAAGAGTAAAGCCGCATCTTCAATCGGTTGTTTTGCACCCTGAACATGACAGTTTTTAAATATCCTCTTGAAACTAGGTTAATTAAATTGCAAATTTCAAACCGCCAGAACTTCGATTTGATTCGACATATTTGTGCCAATATGTCCGTCAAACTAGAGCGTCAAACAACCTGGAAAAGCGGAAATTATCTTGGAACTCTTGGGGCATCAGCAAACATCTTCGAAAATGTCATGTTCATCTTGGATTTTTATGTGGGACAATCAATTTTTCACTCTCACGTTAAAAAAAATCGGCAATTTTTTATTATACTTTTTGATTCTGAAAATGACTTAAATCTGTTCATCATAATATTCGCCGATAAGTAGGGAATTTTTCACGATTCGATCGTGAAAATTATGAAGTCATATGATTTTTTTTTTTTTTTTACTGGAAGTGGTGTAGACACCCCAAAAACTCTCCTGTGCGATCCGGTTCAACTACTTAAATTTTGAACTTACGTGAACAATTTTAAAATTGCCGTCGAACAGTCGTGTGACATTCGCACAAGAAGCAAAATATCGACAACTCCGTCATTGGTGGGGCCAACTACCGATTCGGATTCGGAAACCGTAATCTTCCCCTCCGCGCTGCGCGAATTCGCACAGGAACCCGTCGCTCTCTTCGCCGAGGCCGCCCAGAAGAGGGGAGATTTTTACCCCCAACGGGAAGCACCGAGTCCATTCACCACCCCCCAACCCCCACCAATTCGGGACTCCGCGCGGCCCGCTTAGAGTGCTCCAGTCCCGTTCCCCCTTCCCCGTTCGATCCGGAGCGGGTATTAACGGGAGGGAGGGTACGGACGAGGGGGAAGAGGGTGGGTGCCGTACAGCTGAAATCGCAGCCGTGGATTCAATCAAGCTTAATTTGAATAAACGCCTCCGTATAGTAGTCGCCTAAATTCGAAGCCGCTAGGTTGCCGCGGCTCGAAACGCACTCGAGTTTTGAGCCTAATGCTCCTCTCAAGTGAGGGCGTATCTTCGACTTTAAGAGGGTCCTGGATAATGTGGAATTGAATGGATAATGAGGCTCATCCCAAGATAGCGTTACACCACAGTGGCGTGGCGTGAATGATCGATTATCGACATTTCTCCATTTGAAGCTGTAGTAAAGAATCGATTATCAAGGTGTTCGCTGCGAACACCTTGATAATCGATCCTTATCCATAGATTTAAATGGCAGATCAATCGATATATCGCAAAACACGCCACCCCACTTTTACACCAGAGAAGTCCAGATGAGCCTATGACTGCCGATTCTCGTAAACGCCGGGAAACTCGTGGGCTCTACGAGTCCCTTGTTCGGTGGCGAGGCGTGAATGATCGATCATTGATATTACCCGATTTGCAGCTATGATAAAGAATCGATTATTAAGTGTTCGCTGCAAACACCGTGTTTATCGATCCTTTTTCATAGGTTTTAATGGTAGATCAATCGATATATCGCAAATCACGCTACGCCACCGCCCTTGTTTCAATGCTCGTGGACGCTTTGCAGGTTGTCTAGCATCAGAATTTTCCCGATTCTATCAGGATTTCAGGTCAATCAGGATTTAATTCCGATCTCATCAGGAGTTGAGGAGAAATCGGTCGTAAAATGAGGATTTGAAAAAAGTCGGCCGTCCGATCGGATTTTTTCATCGAGCTATATTTGTGAAGTTACATTCGCCTCGCGTGAAGTCAGGATTCGATCAGGATTTGGACATTATGAAATCAGGATTTAGTAGTCAAAAATCAGGATTTCATCAGTATTTCCCAAAATGAATAAAAACTAGGCACCCTGCTTTGGTGTTTTTGCCTGCCAAATAATATCAAACCGAAGAGTCTATACCTGTTTTTTTTTTTGGGGGGGGGGGACAAATAAATTTATTCTATACCTGTTTTGTGAATCGTGCTCTCGTCATGAGAGCCGTGCAAGGCACCTTTTTATTTTCCGTCAGGCACCTTAGCGTTTTCTGAATTTTTTAAAATTTTTTTGGAGGGTGGATCAGGCCAGCGTTTCGTAATTCAAAGAGGGGGGGGGGCGGTTAGGGTTGCGTCACAGGTGCGTTACAAGGGGAGAGGGGTTATCAAAAAAATCGGAGAAAGTGCGTCACGTAATACTTGAACGATCCCATTACTGTGGCAGAAAACACACGGAGACAAACATTATTGTCGATGCACTTGCTTGAAAGAACGTAAAAAAGAACAAGATATTTTGAGGCACCTTAATAAGTTTCACCGTCAATTTGCTCGAACGAAAAGGGAGGGATTAGAAACTTTAAAAATTGGAAGGAGGCTTGTCGGAATCATACCACTCCTGTAGGGAACGGTTGCTTCGCTGCCAATGGCAGGAGCTGATTAATTACTTCATTGAGAAAATGATGAGATCTGATTCTCTCACTTTTCTCTCCCCTGGTAAAAATTGGCAGTAGAAGCTGTGTTCCAAACTACCATAGACCTACAGCCGGCTGTAAGATTTCCAATAGCTTCTATAGCCGGCTACACAATTTCTTATAGCCTTTTATGGCCGATGGCGATTAAGCAACAGCCAGGTGATAAAGTGTACGCTAAACGTTACTAATT